TTGAAGCAGTATTAACATAATACCAATTAGATGGCCTTGTCAATTTCTGAATTTGATGCACGCGGTTACTTACAAATTCTTTTAATTGGTGGACTTCTGTATTTATCCAATACAATACAACCTGCGAGTCGCACCAATATGCGCATTTTACATCCATTGACAGTGACCTCAAAACCTTTTCCATGAGTTTGGATAAGAGTAATGCCCCGCACAATTCTAATCGGGGTACTGTTATAGATTTCAAGGGAGCCACTCTTGTTTTTGCACACAGCAAATGAACCTTAATATTTGTTCCCGTGTCAGTGCGAGCGTAAACACATGCTGCATATGCATGTGTGGATGCATCGCAAAATCCATGGAGTTCAACATTGTGAGAGTCATACAGTGCACGACGAGTAATTTTAATGAAATTTACGTCTAACAAATTATGTTTGTAATTTATCCACTCATCATAAATACCGTTCTCGATAGGTGAATCCCAGGATAATTTTTCAGACCACAATTTTTGTAATAGGATTTTTCCCGTGATAATTACTGGACTTAAAAGACCTAAAGGATCAAAAACTTTTGAAATATCAGACAAAATTTGTCTTTTTGATATGGCCGTGAATGCAATTGTAATTGTTTCTTTGAGGTGAATTCCCCTACCTGAAAACCTATTTCATCCCTTTCTGTATTGAAAATAATCCCTAGCGTCTTGCGAATATCATGGGATCCAATAGAAAAAATGTTATGTTGCGCATCTTGATTAAAGACGCTCAAAACATCAAAACTGTTAGCGTACCATTTATGTAATAAAAACCCGGCAGATTGTAGTATTTGTTTGATTTCAACACAAATTTGGATTAAGGTTTCAATATTATCATGTCCCGTGATCAAATCATCAACATAAAAGTCGCGTTTAATGACTTGAGCCGCTAGTGGGTTGGAAAATTCATGATCAATTCCAAGCTGGTACAAGCAACGGGTTGCTAGATATGGGGCTGAAGCTGTCCCGTAAGTGACTGTGTTTAATTCATAGGTTTTGATAGGTTCACATTCATCTTCGCGCCATAAAATCCTGTGACATTTGCGATCATCAGGATTCAGTAGCACCTGTCGATACATTTGCTGTATATCAGCTGATACAACATATTTGTATTGGCGAAAGCGCAGGATAATCGAAAATAAGTCATCTTGAACAGTAGGCCCAACTAATTGTGCGTTATTTAAAGAAACCCCGCTCGAGGTGGGCGCTGAAGCGTCAAAAACAACCCTTAATTTGGTGGTAGCAGCATTTTCTCGCAATACTCCATGATGCGGTAGTAAATTATTGATTTCACCCTTTATAGGGTGCACTTCCGACATGTGACCACGAGCTAAATACTCCCGCATGAATTCTGAATACATTTCCTTAAACTGAATCTGCGTACGAAATTTACGTTCTAATGAAAGCAACCGTTTTGTAGATGTGATCTCTGATGACCCTAGTTTGTGAATTTTTTCATTAAAAGGAACATTAACAATGAATCTACCTTGTTCGTTTCGTACAACATGCTTCTGGAAGTGGGTTTCGCATTCAGAAACCGAAAGGGTGGATGAAGATGTTTCACAAACGTCTTGGCAATCTTCTATTTCCCAAAATTTTCGTAAGTCTTTTTGCAATGATTTCAGTGACACATTACAAATCGATGAAACCGGTTTAAGAGGTATTTTCCCGGTCACCAACCATCCTAATCGTGAACCTTGTAGTGTAATATTTTTTGAAATTATAAATCTTTGATGATTGATAACATCCCAAAACACTTCTGCGCCTAGAAGTGCATCTATTTTATTAGGATAGTAAAACTCGGGATCTGCTAATTCTAATTGTTCAGGAATATCTAAGCCTGAAATATTAATTTCTTGCAACGGTAACTGTTCGCAAATGGATTCGATTATCAAAAAATTACACGTTTTTTGATAAGAACAATCCCTAGCAAAAATACCGATTTCGCAATTCTGATTGACCTTTGTAGCTACTGTACCGATTCCCGAAATGGTCATTACTAGTTTGTTACTTTGCAACCCCAATTTTTCACAGGAATCACGCAATATAAAATTTGATTGTGATCCGCTATCTCATGCACCCGGTTACCTTTATCTAAGACATGAATTAATACGGTTAACAATAGGATCTGATTATGTTTCCGATTTTGTACCGAATAAGATGAGCTTGGGTGGGCATCAATTACCTTTTGGGTATCCACAACTTCAGAATTGTGAAGGAGGGTATTATGATTTTTGTTGCACAATTTACATTTGCCGAACTTGCACTTTTGCGCATCATGTCCTTTATGAAGGCAATTATTACATAACTTTAAAGAGGTAATTTCCTGAATACGATCCTGTACATTTAAGTTTAAAAATTGTTTACATTTAAATATCGGATGATTGCCTTTGCACATGGCACAACGTGGTTCGGTTGATAATAAATTGTTTGAATTGCGAACATGTTTAGGTTTTGAATACACCTGATTAGTTTGTAAGGACTTCATTTCAATTGTCTCCAAAACATCTGCCTTTTTGATAAGAAATTGCGTTAATTCGTTGAGAGTAGGAAGCTCGTTAGCTTTATGATACTCCTCCCAATCACGAATGGTTTCTTTATCTAACTTTTCCACTAAAATGTGAATTATCAAAGTGTCCCATTCCTTAATGGGTTGTTTTAAAATTTCTAAAGGGCGCAAATGATTCCCCAACTTGTCAACTAATTGCCTAATTTCGGCAGATGAATCTTTTGTAAGCGGAAGAATATCAAAAAGCGCTTTGACGTGATTATGTACCAGTAATCGAGTATTATTGAAACGGTTACACAGTAATTCCCATGCAAGCTGATAATTACCTGATGAAAATTCCAATGAACTGATAACCTGTGAAGCAGTACCAAACAACGTGGCTCTCAAATAATGAAATTTTTGAATGTTTGTAATCGCGTCATTTGTATGAATTAGCGACTCGAAGGTGTCTTTAAATTCCAGCCAATTATCGTAATTATCACTGAATTTGGGTAATTGAATAGTTGGCAATTTAATACCTAATAAATTTTCATGAACCTGTTCAACTGCATGCAGATTATCATGATTTACAGAAGCTTCTTGACCCTGATTTACGTCTGTGACACCAAGTTTGCCTTCAGCTAAAGCAATTACGTCACAATAATCATTTTCAAACGGCTCCCGTGCTGACAAATGAGTACTGAAAGTATCATCAGTGCAATCAAGAATAATTTTGGAATGAATTTTGTCATATTCATTAACAGCATTTTGCATTTTTTGTAAACGACTTTTTAATTGTTTGGCCATTGCGATACTGGCCGTATCAGAATCGTATGCATTAACAAAATTGATAAACCCGGTGAGTTTAGATTTCACGTTATCCCTTTGACGCATCAATGTCTGCAACTGATCAGGCATCGTGTTTGGATAATATGATACTGATAAAAAGGAAAATTAAGTAAGGAAATGTGCTCTTACTTTGAATTTGATGTAGGATTGTTAACGTGTTGACCTTGCCTTTTACACCAATGTAGATCTCAGAAAATGGATCGATTGAACGTAAAATTGCGAACTTCTTGTACCTTTTGATCTACTGACTGAATATCAATCCGACTGTGAAGGACCATGTAATTTTTCTGTGTGCTTTATTCAACATCATTACAACGAATGAATTCCCCATAGGTACATAGAATAAACAAAAATGCGATTGCGCATAAACATAAACTATTCGTAACATTATTGTTGTAACGAAATTTTGGAACCTGCATTGCTTTATCGTGACATTTAAATAATACATACCTAAGCACCATTTGTGATATGGCGTAAACGACAGGTACCTACTACTATGTTAAAAGCAGTTGTAGCAATCTATCAGAATAATTAAAACAAGTTAAAAAGCAATCGTAAACGATTTACAAAAAGCGCATTTCCACTTGCATTCATTTCCCATTTGTAAGATGCAACTTCTGTTAAAATCGTAAAAATCCGGCCACAAATATGAAAGATATCGTTGCAAATGTGCAGTCCCTTTTTGACGTGTTACTTCAATTTCAGTTTATAAGAAGAATTTAATTTCAATTCAATTTATGGAACATGTAAAAAACGGTTTGTTGGTTTTTTTACAACAACTTTTTTAGCAATAAACGCAGAAAAATCCCTTCCTTGGTGCAAGCACCATAACGAACCAAACAGCGAAAAAAGTAGAACAATAGCTCTTAAGATAAAGAACTAGTAGCGTCTCAACGAACGAGCGGACGGACGGACAAAGTGGCCACAATAGCGCATTTTTTTAGCGCATTTCCACAAAAAAAATGCGCTATTGTGGCCACTTTGTCCGTTCGTCCGTCCGTCCATCCGTCCGCTCGTTCGTTTCAAAATTTTATTTTGCGCATGCGCAGTGCCAACCTTTGTATCTATGGAAGCATTTAAATGAAATTTGATGACTACGCGCTTGGAACAAAGGAAAATCTAACATTACTTTCAAAATTTAGATTTGCGCATGCTGCAATTTTATTATTTAGAAAAGCATTGAAATGAAATTCTTCTTATAAACAGAAATTAAAGTAGCACGTCAAAAATGGATTACACAATGTCATGTGCAACGCTATCTTTCATATTTGTGGCCGGATTTTTACGATTTTAACAGAAGTTGCATCTTACAAATGGGAAATGAATACAAGTGGAAATGCGCTTTTTGTAAATCGTTTACGATTACCTACTTTTTAACTTGTTTATTTTTGTGGTAATGCGCTAAAAATTGGCAGTGCTCAGTTACGTAGACTTCGAATCGAACAGGTATTATTAGTGTCATTGATCCTGAACAGAGCAGGAATGCGAAGGCTGTTACGAGGCATTAAAACACAACCCATGATGCCTAATAGAATATTGACTACCTACGAACCCGTGGCGAGAAGAAATGCTGTTTTTAACAATTACGATCTCAAAATAGTATATACTAGGTACCTCCTAGAACTCTCTATAGAACAAAAACAAGAATTGTGATTTCGAAGAGATGCTGATAAGAAAAGTTGCAAGCGCTAATGAAATGTGCGCGTGGAAGTACCTACCTAAGTACTAAACTCTTATTGTATAATTTTCGAACTAATTCCAACGTTAAAACTTATGGGGGGCAATTAAAAGAAAGGAATTCCAGGCGGAGGGACATCATACGAGTCCACCTTGATGCAAATTGCGGCCTTGTTAAATATATTTTTCAATCGCTGAAGTAGTGTTGCGTTACGATTATACCTACACGTTTCTGTTCTCGTATTTCTTTCGCCATTTTAGTCATGGAAACGAAGCAGGAATATTTAACAGATGCACAAATGGAGGCACTCGACAAATTTCTAAATAGTATCGGTATTCTAAATTACGAATTAAAGTTTTCACCAGCGGTAGAAGACGGTGAAAATTTCGGTGGTGTGATATTGAAAGTTGATGTGTTGGAAGTGAAAAACGCAGATCTGCCAGTAAACCATTTCATTATCAAATGCTCACCTCACAGTGATATAATCCATGCAGCGGTGCCATTCGTCAACGTTTATAATATCGAAATATACCTATATTCAACAGTATTTTCAGAATTTCTGCAGATTCAGAGAGAAAAAAAAGTTGCACAGGTGTGTAAACCATGTCCAAAATTCTATACATCATTGACCAAGCATCGGGAAGAAATGTTGGTACTTGAAGATTTAAAACTGAAAGGGTATGAGCATCACAATCGTTACCTGCCCTTGAATTACGATCACGTATTGATAATGTTAAAGCAATACGCGAAAATACACGCGTTATCTTACGCCGTTCGTGATCAAAAACCTCAACTATTCCAGGAATTTCAAAAAAACATGCGTAACCATTTCTTCGAAGACCTCACTTTTGGTGCCATCCAAACGTACGTTCAGCATCGCTTAACCCACGCACTTAAAGCACTAAATCGTGATCAGGATGGGCCATATTATGACAAATTTGTCTATTTAGCAGAGAATTGGAATTCCGTACTAAAGAGTTTGATGTCAAAATCTCAACACCCAGTTGTTTGTCACATTGACTGTGGTATTTCTAATGCACTTTTTAAGTACCAGGTAAACAATTATATTCGTTACATTAAATCATCACGAACAATTTTAGCACACAAAGATTCCAACCGAAGTTATCTTATTGGACTGGCAACACTCACGCGTGGATTCACCAGCCGTAGATCTAGTTGCATTCATCCTATCATCTGCAGACGCTTCCACACTGGAAAAGTTCGATGAATTGGTTGTTGAGTACTATAAGTCACTAAGTTCATTTCTGCGGGAGCTTGGAAGTGATCCAAATGAAGTATTGCCGTTTGAAGTATTACAATCAGAGCTAAAAACGTACGGAATAGTTGGTCTCCTCATGACGGTGTTATTACTGCACGTTTACGCGGCCGGTAACCAAAAACTGCCGAACTTGGTTACCGATGAGTCCTATTCAAGTGGATTCGTATTCACATACAACTTGGATGATAGAACACATTACGATAGCCGAATGAGGGCGGCTGTTTCTAAATTTCACAGAATGGGTTATAATTTTATGTAGTTTTTTGGACCTCATTTGAGCGATTACAGCGTTCAAAAAAACTTGTTAATACTGTTCAGAAACTTGTAATCAAGATTTGGCTCGTTTCCTTCATTATATTGCTCTTATTGCAACAATTTTATGATTTTACGCAATTGATTATTGCAGAATTGTTCTCGAACCCAAGTATCAACGAGCAAAATCGAATTCAGGGAGTTATTATTTTTAAGACGAATAGTACAATTTACTACTACTATACTATAATTTTATTATTAATAAAAAGTTAATTTGTTGATAATTGGTCTCTTAACATAACATACATGTTTATAATGCTACACAAGTATCAATATATATTTACAACCGCTACTTTTTGCATACATTACGAATGCGACAGAAGTGAAAGTATTCTTTACTTCCCAAGTCATTAAAGACGTACAAATTAGTGCTTTACATCGTCGTGCTTATCCAACTGTTTGCCCTCTGTATTCCATTCAAAAGTGTACGGAGGGCTAATACGGATAAAAAACTATAATTGACGGTGGCAAAAATTGATATCTTGCCACTTTAAGCTTTTTTCAGCTTATCGATGGTACCATTATCACATTTTGAGGTTCCAATCACTCAATCATTCTGAAAAAAAAATCACTTCTAAGTTCAGGTTTATTTTCATGTGTGTAGAGCATTTCCAAATAAGGGCATAAACGTTCCAATAGATCCATAGAGATATTCTGTACTACTAAAAACTGGTAAGTTGTGAGACAGGAGAAAAAGTAAGTCGAGATTATAAATGTAAACGCAAAATATGCCGAAATATGTGAAGAAATCGTTAAAAATCACCTTTGAATGTGCTATAAGCTGTAACTAAGTGCATTGCAAAAAGGAAAAAATAGATGCGATACATCCAACCACAGAACACTGCATTTTGTTGAAGACTAATACACAAATTCCACAAAAAGCGTCAAAATATAATAATTATATGTCAGTGAAAATCTCCGCGTGACGTCACCAATAACTCCACCCACATGCACAATAGCATATCTTTTATTTATTGTATCTTATTAGAGTGGTTTATTAATGAAACAAGGTATCCCATGGTTGTTGTATCTAAATTAAGTGGAGGAGTGCGAATATGCGTGAATTTGTCCAAATCGAACGATCAAGTAATACCAATATTGCACCCTGTGAAAATACCATAGTGTAATGAAAATACCTTCGCACGCGGTGGCAGAAATACCCAATACAGCTGAATTCTTTTCAAAGCTTGATGCAAAATCGGGATATTGGCAAATGGAGCTGAACCCATCAGTGTCGAGACCTCTCACGATATTCATTACACCTTGGGGACGATATAATTTTATAAGATCACTAATGGGTTTCAGGTCCACAGGCGACACATGTAGTTTAAGGGGCGACTTAGACCTTCAAAGATTCCTAAACATCTTGAAGATAGTGAATGATCTCTTAATACCATCTAAAACTTTAAAAGAAAATATCTCCATTGTATGCAATGTCCTTGAACGATGCGCTGAACATAATATTACACTGAAACCCGAGAAATGTTCATTCGGGGTCTCATAAGTTGATTCTGCGGGATATAAGATCAAACCGGGAGGGTACGAAGCAGATAAATCCAAAATAAAAACTATTAGAGAATTCCTTACACCAACCAATCTGAAGGAATTACAACAGTTCATGGGACTAGTCAACCATCTTGGCCAGTTTACTTCAAACATTTCAAATACAGCTCTGAACCTCTCCGAAGCCATCTATCAACAAAACATTTATTTCGATAGACGGCCGACCACACCTAAGCATTCAAACATCACCCCCTATTCTCGCCTCCTTCGATCCAAACGCTGAAACCGTCCTTCAAACGGATACGTCCCGTCGGGGTGGATTAGGATTTGCTCTTCTTCAGAAACAAGGTGTTTGGAAACTGATACGAGGCGGGTCACGTTTTATAAGTAGGGCAAAATCACGATACGCAATGGTTGAACTTGAGTCCCTAGCAATTGTGTGGGCAGTAAAGGAGTGCCATCTCTACCTGTGGGGTGGGTTTACAACAGTTTACTGGGTTGTGGACCACCGACCACTTGTCCCAATCTTTAACACTCATACATTGGACATGGTCGATAAACCTCAGCTTCAATCATACAAATCCAAATTGGCCGGATATATCTTCACGGTCGTACTTCACACCCATTGACGAATTTTTGCATAACGTAAAAATTGTAGCAGCTGAACTATTTGAAAACAATCCAGACCCTTTCAGAACACGAAGCTGATGTTGATGAGGGATACTAAAATTTACTCATTTCTGCTAAAAATAATTTCTCAGGATACATGTAATGGAACCATTGGCCAACTTCATGAAAAAATTAAAATCTGAGCTGTCTTTATTAGGTAGGTAAACTCGTTCTAAAAGGACATCAAATTGTCATCCCTCAGAAAAGCAGAAAGAGGGTGCTAAAACAGCTCCATGCGGCTCATCAGGGCATTGAAAGGGCTAAACGTGCTTACAACCGATCTGCTCGTCCCTTAACCTCCTCTTAGCCCAGGTGATACTGTTCCTGTCCAAGACCATATTACCAAATGGATTAAAAAAGGCCCAACTGAAGGATCCTATATTCTTAAATGGTGATCAGGAAAAGAACCAAGAAGAAACCGGATTTTCCTTCGGCTACTGAAAGGGGGAGATGGTAGGGGTCCAATTTAGAGGTCACCGTGGGAAAGAAATAACAACGTGACTTGAGAGTTGTCAGATATTGTGTTCTAAATAAACTATATTTGTATTGTTTAGACCTTGGATTTATATAACTTACCATTGATCCTCAAACAAAAATTACAGTGATACTTAACTAATAATAATGTATATGTATATGAGAAAATAAAACTGTTACAGTTCTTAGAATGCAATGACTATCATCGTAAAAATTACAACTCCAAAATAAATCGACTGCCTCAGTACCATTTACTAATCTGTGTCAATCTCTGATGCTCTAATTAGTGTAGTCCTTGTCGGCGTGTCCGTTTTACATGAAATGGACGAACATTCTGATATCTTTTGGTTCCGAATGTGATTAGTATTTAGTTGGTTCATTCCACTCCAACTTCCAGTAACAGTAACAGTTGTTTGGCAGTGTGGAACGTTATTTCAAACGAATCTCAGACACAAAATTGTTATCACGAGCAATCGGAATCTACATCACGTACAGGTTCATTTTTATCAAAAACGTTGTAGTCCAGTCAAATTAGCTTTAAAAGTAGTATAAACTGGATGTTGTAATTTCACTCAACGAAACCAAGCGTATCCTATGTAAAAAAATCCGCTGGATCGGAAGTCCCCCTGGCCGGAAACGCCCGGAACATATTGTTATCAATAAAAATCGAATAAAAAATGAGAAAATGTCGTGTTTTTTCGCATTTGACTTCGAATATCTCGTTAACTATTGCTCTGAGGGAAAGAATGAATAGAAATGAACTTGTTTAGAATAAAATTTTCTATGAGATACAGTTGGTCCGGAACGCTCATTTTCTATTGTTATTGTTTTTTACGGAAAAATGTGAAAAATTAATCTCTAAAATTAACAATTTCTTATTATCAAGTAAAATTCATCCGATCTTTTTGAAAATCCGTATTTAGTAACTTCTTTTGATAACAAAACAATGTGACAAACCCCATCACCGTAGGTTTTATAGTAATTGATTAATTAAATAAAAAAGTAAAAAAGGGATGCTTTGTCTTTCAAACTGGGGGACTACAAGAGCGTTCCCAATTTTTTTATACATAGTTTAATCTTTAAATTAATCTTTTCCAATAATTGTCCCGACGAACTGTAGAATTTTCCTTCGGAATTCGAAGAATTTTCTTAGTTAACAAATGGAATAACTCTCGCAATGTAACAAAAAATATAACTATAATAGGCGCTTGGAAAGCTATCGGAAAAACGTACATAAAAAAAAATACGTCCAAATCCGATTAATAGTTCACTAGAAATCAGATTTTGACTTTGAAGCCAGTTTTCGAATCAACCAAAAATGATTTTGCAAATCGGGTCGCACCATGGGTCGCACAGATCGATTTTTTAAAGCGTGGACTTTTTTATGCTTCTATTTCACCAAAATGAATGATTTTTATTAATTTTTTACATTTTGCTATAAAAAAACAATAACAGTTGAAAATGAGCGTTCCGGACCAATTGTTTCTTATGGAAAATTCTATTCTAAACAAGTTCATTTCTATTCATTCTTTCCCTCAGAGCAATAGTTAACGTGATATTCGAAGTCAAATGCGAAAAAACACGACACTCATTTTTTTCTTCGTTTTTTGTTAATAACAATAATTATGTTCCGGCCGTTTCCGGCCAGGGGGACTATGATTTTCGGATTCAGCGGATTGTTTTACATAGGATACGCTTAGTTTCGTTGAGTGAAGTGACAACATCCAGCCCAAACCGTAATTTGACTGGACTATTGTTGTACAATTCCATCCTCAGAGGTCGTTTTGGTTTTAGTATTGATTTATTGGTGAATGGAAACGTGGATCTAAAGTTTAACCATTATCATTGATTATATACTACAAACTATATAATCAATGTCATTATATAATTTTCTGTAATAAGATTTATTTACAAAAATCATCAATACAAAGGCTCTATAACATAAACCTTGGAAATTAATGTTCATCACGTTATAGTTGTGCATGGCGGTGTGATTGTAACTACACGCTTATGTTCTCATACTTCATATCCAGTTGAAATCATGTCAACAAAACAGCAATGGTTAACAGACGCACCAGTTGCAGCATTCGAAGAATTTCTAAATAGTATCGGTGTTCAAAATTACGAATTGAAGTGTTCACCAGCGATAGAAGACGGTGAAAATTTCGGTGGTGTTATATTGAATGTGGATTTATTAGGCGTGAAAAACGCAGATTGTGCCGATGAACCATTTCATTATCAAATGCTCACCTCGGAGTGCTTTGGCACATTCAGCTGTGCCATTCGTCAACGTTTATAATCTCGAAATATACCTATACTCAACAATATTTCCAGAATTTCTACAGATTCAAAAAGAAAAAGATGTTGGGGAGGTATTTCAACCAAGTCCAAAATTCTACACATCACTGATAAAGCATCGAGAGGAAATGTTAGTGCTTGAAGACGTAAAATTGAGATGGTATGTCCATCACCATCGCTACCTTCCTTTGAACTACGATCACGTATTGATCATGGTCAAACAATACGCGAAAATACACGCGTTATCTTACGCCATTCGTGATCAAAAGCCTCAGGTATTTCAAGAATTTCAAAAAAATATGTGTAAGCATTTCTTCGAAGCTACAAGCTCTAATGTCTAGCCGTCTTATAGCCTTAGACAAATGCCCTGACGTTAGACCAATAGGCATTGGCGAATGTCTACGAAGAATATTATCAAAATGCATGATCGAAGTCACTGGTTTTGAAATAACTGAAGCATGCGGTCAGTCACAACTTTGCAGCGGATTAAACTGCGGCATTGAAAGTGCCATTCATGCCATGAATGATATTTTTCAAAGTAAATGCCTTCCAGGCTCAAATTGGGGGATGCTACTTGTTGACGCAAATAATGCATTCAATGCTGTGAATAGACAACTTGCACTATGGCAAGCAAGAATATACTGGCCTCATTGCGCTCGCTTTCTATGTAATACCTATAATGGCCATGCGGAACTTGTTTTTCGTGATTCTAACATAAGATTATACAGCAGAGAAGGAGTAACCCAAGGAGATCCTCTCGCCATGCCACTCTATGCACTAGCGACCCTACCACTAATAAATAAACTTAAAATAAAAAATAAAGTGACACAATGTTGGTATGCTGATGATTCCTCCGCACAGAGAAGTTTTCATGACTTACGTAACTGGTGGGTATTAACAATACAGGACCAACATACGGCTATTTCCCACAAGGCAAAAAATCATTTCTGATATTTTCTGAAGCTGACAAACCAATTGCAGAAAAGATATTCAACAGCACTAATATATCCGTTGTAACCGATTCCCGTTTCCTAGGTGGATACATAGGAAGAGGAAAGGAAGATTTCATTAAAAATAATGTAACAAAATGGACGGATATAATCGAGAAGTTAACTTCAATATGCAAAGACTCACCTCAAGCCGCCTACAGTACTCTAACTAAAGCAGCCCAATTTAAATGCGTGTTATAAGCAATGCAGAAGAATTTTTTGAACCCCTTACTAATGCACTGCATGATCAATTTTTGCCAACACTACTGGGAGGTGAAACATCAAAACTAGAAGCACAGCTCTTTTCCTTTCCCGTTCACAAAGGTGGGCATACCAAACCTCAAGACAAGGCTCATCAATATTATCCACATCCTTAAACAACTCTCAGGATATAAATTTTGCTGAACATCACAAGTCTCTACATGTTACAAAAAGAGAAGGAAATCAACAAAAAGAAATATATGAAAATGAAATACTGGAGATGATTCTAACAAAACTGCCACAAAAACAGAAACGAACAATTGAAAGATCAATAGCAACAAAAATGCATACAAAAACATCCACCTGGCTTTCAGTAATACCAACGAAAAAAGACAATTTTGACCTTTCACCCCATGAATTCAGAGATGCTCTTGCCATCAGATATCACCGTACACCAGTCTCCATGCCAATATCCTGCCACAAATGGAAGCGTACATATGCCTATGAAGATGGAGCCGCCCTCCCCAATATCCCATAATAATCCACATTTATATTTACATTTATTTTTTTAAGTTATTAATAATGTTCAACGCGTTATCGTTATCGCGGTGTGTTTGTAACTACACGCTTATGTTCTCATTACTTCATATCATGCAATTGCAATCATGTCAACAAAACAGCAATGGTTAACAGACGCACAAGTTGTAGCATTCGAAGAATTTCTAAATAGTGTCGGTATTCAAAATTACGAATTGAAGTGTTCACCAGCGATAGAAGATGGTGAAAATTTCGGAGGTGTTATATTGAACGTGGATTTATTAGGCGTGAAAAACTCAGATGTGCCGATAAACCATTTCATTATCAAATGCTCACCTCGGAGTGCTTTGGCACATTCAGCTGTGCCATTCGTCAACGTTTATAATCTCGAAATATACCTATACTCAACAATATTTCCAGAATTTCTACAGATTCAAAAAGAAAAAGATGTTGGGGAGGTATTTCAACCAAGTCCAAAATTCTACACATCACTGATAAAGCATCGAGAGGAAATGTTAGTGCTTGAAGACGTAAAATTGAGATGGTATGTCCATCACCATCGCTACCTTCCTTTGAACTACGATCACGTATTGATCATGGTCAAACAATATGCGAAAATACACGCGTTATCTTACGCAATTCGTGATCAAAAGGCTCAGGTATTTCAAGAGTTTCAAAAAAATATGTGTAAGCATTTCTACGAAGATTTAAATTATGGTAGCTTCGATGAGTACATTACACATCGTTTTACATACGCATTGCAAGCACTAAATCGTGATCATGATGGGGTACTTTATGACAAATTTTTAAATTTTTATGAGAATTGGAATTCGATATTAAAGGGTTTGATGTCAAAATCTCGATATCCTGTTATTTGTCACGTTGATTGTGGTATTTCTAATGCCCTTTTCAAGTATCAGGTAATCTTTTATACATGCCACACTAAATAAACATGAAAATTTTAGCACTCTACTAAGATTCCAGTGGACGCTATCATACTGGATTGGCAACATTCTCGCATGGACTCCCCAGCAGTAGATCTAGTTACATTCATCCTATCATCTGCGGATACTTCCGCACTAGAACAGTTTGATGGATTGGTTGTTGAGTACTATAACTCACTAAGTTCATTTCTGAGGGAGCTAGGAAGTGATCCCAACGAAGTATTGCCGTTTGAAGTATTAAAATCGGAGCTTAAAACGTACGGAATAGTCGGTCTATTCATGACTGTCTTACTACTGCACGTTTACGCGGCCGGTGACCAAAAACTGCCAAGCTTGGTTACCGATGAGTCTTATTCAGATGGATTTGCACTCACATACAACTTAGATGATAGAACGCAATATGACTGTCGAATGAGGGCAGCCATTTTTCAATTTCACAAATTGGGATACAATTTTGTCTAGGTCTGCGATGTACGATAGGAAAAATCAAGCAAATGAGCGGACTGTGTCCTCCCAACCTGGCACTACCGTCTACTCTAGAAACCTTGGAGAGGACGCATTGTTTTGTTTATACTTAAGGGCGTGATGAGTACATCCGGTAACATAAGGTATTTTATTTTTGCCCATTATTCGGTTTATTTAAAAATTGCTTATGTAGAATAAATTGCTTATCATATTAGTTTATAAGATAAATTTAATTATCTGGCCAGTAAGTAGGTACATTTTTGAGTTATGCTAGGAAATAGGCTTTTGTCTTTTTAGGACCACTGCAATTTGTTTAATTTCATTTGTTTAATAATGATAAATGTGTTTGAGATATTTTCTTGTGACTTTCATGACGTTTATAACTCCTTACAAAGGAGGTAAAGAGGTTTATTTCAGAAGCACGCTAATATTGAAGTTAGCTGGGTTAGCATTTTTATAAATTTTGATTATGAAGTCCTAATCCTTAATGAGATATTCTGTGAAGAAAAAATGTATTGAATTCGGTAACAGTCTAGATAAGGGATGAATGCGAATTTTGAAAAATTTCAGAAATGTTTGGAAATGGCTTATTTTTCGAAAGGTTTTTTTACGCAAATTTGCCGTATTTTTACAATTACCAAAAAACTGTTTGTAGTATTCCTTAATTTACAATAAATGGCGCTACGTATACATTATAAATATATAAATAAAATCAATAATTATGCTTTATTAATTGTTCGTGTATGAAGAAATTACAATATACTATAGCGTTTAGAAGGGTCCCAATTTCTTTGTGCTTTATTTTCTTAATAGAGAAACGTAAACATAACGATAACCTAAAATACTCACATGTACTTCATTTTATTAATAGAGAAACTTTAACCAAAACCCAAAGTCAATTACCTAATTAATGCAAAGTAGTATCAGTAAGTATTTTATTAACAGAATAATTACAACGTATTGAAATATACATAGGTAAATCCGAGGGTAAATCGATCCTTAAAAGTTGAGTTATCAGCATTTATATGCCGTCCAGACAAGTCCACGAGGAGGTGTAAACCACTTTTTCCAGGAGAAAATGGGAAAGGAAGTGAAAATCGGTAAACAGGAGTGAAATTGAAGGCGGATAAAATAAACATGGGTAAAGTGAAAGAAAGGAATGATGAACCTAGAACAAGAACACTGGTGATATACTAAAATTGTTATACCTGCGTGTTAAGTAAATTACGTAAATGTTAGTAACATAATGAGTCATGATTGCTTTTTAATAGTAATAGTTTAATGCCCAACAGAAAACAAATTCCAATTACAGGACATTTAACAGATAATATAGAGGCGATACAAGTAGATATTACAAACAGTAGAACAATTGGTATAAAAAAAATTATAGAACTAAAATAATTTAAAAAAAATAAAAACCAAACCAAACAACTATATAAAAAATAGCAATTAAAGATTAATCTCAGTGAATATACAAGTTAGTGTTGAATTAAATATGTCCACGGTTTTACAAAGGTTATTGTATGTTTTACACGAACTTAAAATTGGAGACATATATAAAACATTAGTACGTGGCGGAGAAAGGTGAAATGGTAAACTCAAACGATAGTGATAAGATGGTACAAGAAAATTAATTTTAGACAGCAAATCGGGGGTATCTAGTTTATCGTGCACAATATTAAATAGGAAAGTTATACTACTTTTTATTCTTCTATCCTCTAAACTACTAACATGAAATAGGTTTAGTTTAGTTTCATGACAAAACCCTCTAGGAGGATAATGACCTTCAGTTTTGTAATATAAGAATTTTAAGAATCTCCTCTGAACATGCTCGATCAAATCAATATTTTTTTTTGATGACGCGAACCAGATAAGTGAGCAATACTCCAGCTTACTTCGAACAAGTGAAAAGAATAGTGCTTTAAGTGCAACCATATTATTGAAGGATTTACAATTCCTCAGTATAAAACCTAGAGTAGACATTGCTGAACGCGTTACTGTAGCAATGTGATGCGAAAATGTAAATTTGGAATCAAAGTAAACGCCTAGGTCTTTAACCAAATCGACCCTTGTTAACCGCAGGGAATGAACTACATAATTATATACAATAGGTTGATGTTTCTTAGCGTATGTAACTATTTTACATTTAGAAATATTTAAAAATAAACAATTAGTAGAACACCACCGCACAACACTGTTTAGTTGTTCCTGAAGAAATTGACAAGAAATTGCTTTTAAAAAAGCAAATACAAGCAAAATGGTAAAGATGCGTTCCAGATGAAAGTCAAGAAGCAAATCTCGTCAAAAATGGCGTGAAAGGAATACCAAAAAGCATGAAAATGCCATTGCAGGTTGGAGTTGTGCTTCCACCTATGGGGAAGTAATGGAAGTAACTAACATTTTTTCATATCATGTGTCTAAACTTTTCATGTTCTTAGTCCCTCCTAAGCCATCGTGGGAGGTAAAGTACGGAAGTTAGTCTAACGTTACTAAAAATTACAGCGAAAGAAAAAGACGAAAAGGAAAAGTCAACGTGTTTCATTCCTCCGACACCCAAAGGGATACCGGAGGCAGGCTGCTCAGGGTTTCCTGACCCTCTTCAGCCAGAGAACGGGAATGTAAGGATGGGTACAGTTAAGAATGGGAATGGAAAGAGGAAAGAGTAGTCCCCAGCGTTCGCCTCGTAGATTATGCGAAGCTACGTACGTCTAAGGAAAACCCTCTGACAAAGAGGGCAGTCGGCAGGGGCATTCGAACCCACAACCTCCCGGGTAGCAGTCGACAACGGCAACGCAACCACTTCGCCACCGGTTTCGGTAAATAAAAGTTTACAAGAACAATTTTATGCATCATACCAATACCACGCCACGTACCTAAGAAAAGAGAGAAGCGATTACGCAATGCCGCCGAAAGGTGAGGCTTTAAAATGGGCCACACATTACAATTGGATTTGCTTTTGGAAAAGGTAGCGAGTATCGAGATAGGATAAAAGGAGATACCTACTATTTGGTATCTAAACAATCCTATTATAATGGGACATGTGGGCGGGGCTTAGTGTAGTACCAACATGGACTTTTTACCAGGGCCGTATTCTACCATTTTTAAGCTTAATTACCAAGTGTAATCATGTATTAAAAAACAACGATTATCAAAATGCCAGTCGCTATAAAAATAAATAGAAATAAGTGCGCGCGTGAAGGTAGCCAGTACACGATAGCCAGTACGCGCCAGTACATCAGTACTCTGTAGTACCGTTTGAAAAAAACGACAGCAAAAATTTACTACCTATGAAGGACGCTGATATTTTTATATACTGGCTGGCGGGATTTGGAAGCTAGCCAGTACACTGGAAATCGATAAACCGCACATTAATATACAACGGCACTATTTAGTACTTCTTGGGTACTAAATACATACACAATCAGTTTCTTGGTACCTTTAAGAGTTGCCTTGTACTGGCTACTGTCCAAATTCCGCTAGCCAGTACTCGAAAAATTGATAACCAGGATATAAACAAACAGCAGTACCATTTAGTACTGCTTAAGGATTGATTAAATGTAAAATCAGTTTTCTGATACCATTAGGATTACACTAGTACTGGCATAGTGTAAGGTACTGGCTACCTTCCAAATCTCGCTAGCCAATACAGGTCTGTCAGGAGATATTGATGTACGGCACATAAATAAACGATAGTACGATTTCGTACTTCTTAGGTTTCTTCTTTCTTGTTTGTTAAACTTAAGTGAACCTGTCAGTTCTCCGAAACGCGAATCAATAGAATTTAAAAAGCAAAGCAAATTAGTAATCACGATTAAATTGGCTTTCAAATAATGTGCCATGGGCACAGTGGCTGAGTGGTAATGCGAGCTATTCAGTGACGAGTGTCGGGTATTGTTTGGTTACCAGTTTTACCGGTTGAAAACCGTTTGTAATCTTATACATTTATATCTGATTTGAATAAATTTGTTGATTTAGAAACAATTTCTACAGTACTGTGGCAGATGATTCGCGAGGAAGCTATGACTGAAACAATTGGTACAATGTAAATTTCCCTATGGCCCAAGTCCTATGGACAAGTTTTTTTTATCTCGGTTGCCGTAATGACGAAAATTACGGTAGGTGTATGGAGATAAGTATCGTTACCGCATCCACCGTACAGCTCCGACTTCGTCCCCTGCTTGTTTCCTAAAATGAAGAGTCACCTCAAAGGAACCCACCATGACGGGAGGGGACTACTGTAAAGGCTGTTAATAAAGTTTTTTTTCTAACTTAAGCCTCCTTCAAGCTTTCTGCACGCCTCCATCGAAAGTTCTCCAATCTCCATTCCTTCTTCACACCCCTTTCTACCGTTCTTTTGTGTCTGCAGCACGCCTTAGACTTTCTTCACGTCTTTTTGAAAGATTCTCCCCGCTTCTTTGAGCCCTTTCTACTCCTTGTTGATTCATGCTTTACTTGAACTTTTTTAAAGTTTCCTCCAAGCCCCCTTTAACAATTCTTCACGAAATTATCGAGATTAGTAAACACTTCATTCGACCCTCTATCACGGTTTCTTTGTGCGTCTTCTACGCCCCCTGTAAGCATGCATTTTGCTTGACTCTATTGGCCCATACTCACTCCTCCTTCTAGCCTCTTATTTCCTCACGCCCCGTTGTTTTTCTTCACTCCTCTTTCAAACATTTTTTACGTTCCATTCAAACATACTTCACACCCCCTTCGAACTGCCTTCGTGGTTACTTTGTATCTCTTCTACGCTTTATTCGAATCATCTTATTATATCTTACGAGGAGACTTTTTCCCACCACCGAGAGTCCTTTACACCTCCTTCGAACTTTCATCACGTCTTCTTCGAGGTTTCCTCACGCCTTCAACTTTTTGTAACGATTTCTGCTGCAAATCTTCACTTCTGCTTTGAGCGCTTTCCACACCTCTTTCGAGCTTTCGGTCCGTGTTCGGGCATTCTCAACCACGATTCCTTCACGTCTTGTTCTAGCCTCTATCTATCCTTTTTTGCGCCATCTTTACACCTTTTTCGAGGTTTTTCTTTCAGGCCTCCGTAAAGCCTACTTCACGTCTCCTTCGAAAGATTTCTATTTTTTTTACGCATCCTTGAATCCTTAACGCCTTCTTCACAGTTAGTTTGTGCCTCCTTCTTCGAGCTTCCTTGAGGACTTCTATAGGCCTTTCGGTGCTTTCTTTAAACTTTCTCAAGACTTTATTCGAGATCTTGTAGTTTTTGCATACATTTGCTATTGTAGAAGAGGACTACTGCATGGTTAAAGAAATCTAATTACAATGTCAGTAATTCCGTTACTAAATTAAATAAACTTTGTCATTAGAACTTAGTCCTACAAACAATTAGATAACGTTCAAGATTTGGTATTACACCTCCCGAAATGAACTATTGACTCCCTTGTATCTTATAGAACCTTTTCCAATAAAATTTACCTGACTGCCGCAGAGGAAAGGCGTCGAAACTGCAGAATACAGAAAAACTCAAACAATTAGCATAGTTTGTTTCTCAGGTTGTCGACCTTTAGAAAACCTTCCAGCTGAGACTAGTACTTTTAGAGCGAACCACGCACGTCTTTCCCTATCTGGGTGGTTACAGGCCTGGTGATCCCGAAGAACAGCCGCCGAAGAAACACCGCTCTGAGTTACACTGGTCTTTCAAATAAAGATGAATGGTAGTACATAGTGGGCAGCAAGGCTTCAGGGTCGCTGTTTACATGTCGCCGTAAGTTTGAAGAGATACAGGGCGAAGAAGGTGCCCACCTTCGTAGATATGTGTGCGCGTCGAGGCGCTCTGCCTACATAACTATTACACAAAATAAACATCCGCCTTTTAGACCTATGACAGCAAGTGCATTGGTTTCTTTAAGTTAGAGTCACTAAAATTGTTAATAAAACTGTTCGACTCTCACCGGTGTCTCTAAAACAACCCTCGCCGTGTGTTCACTTGACCTGGAGGACCGGAGGACACAAAGAAGTTAAGCATAGTGAGCTGTAGATTTTATTGTAACATCAATCTATCAACTGACAAGAGTTGCAACAAGTTTGGTGGGGAAAATTATAAATTCGGTCAAGTAAGGATCCTAATGCTTCTTCTGTTCGGGTTCTTTGTAGGGATGTTCAGCGGCCCACTTGAGACTTCTTGCGATCACTTCCGGAATTCCGGGAATGTGGTCACCGGATGCCACAAAGCCATTTTCGTCAGCAGTATACGTAACCTTGAAGACGGTTCCATTATTATCAGTATACTCGTAGAAACCAGTGGCGGTGGCTCCAGCCTCATTTCCAATCTGCTTCAGTTCCCCGTGCTGCTCTGCCTTAGTTCCATCTGAAGTGGCGAATCTAAAATCGACGTCTAGAAGCTTCCACAAGAATTCAAAAACTCACTTGTAATGATATTTTCCACCAACATCCAAATCACTTTCTTGCTGAACTATTTCCGCCGTCTGGGTTTGGGACGGTGGTGGTGCTGCAATGGATCCTACAATGCACGTACAGATAACTATTAACTTAAACATTTTGTTATTAATAAGCGTATTGAATGCTCTAAGCAACTGAAGATGTGAGTAAATTGCGGCGCTTATATACCCGAATCACAGCATTTCCCAAATCGCTGTGTAAAGAAGATGGATGGGGTTTAGTCATACATCTCACTAAATTATGTAAATGTTTAGACACAAAGTAATTGTTATTCAATGGCGAAATTGCAAAAAGGTTTGCGGTGTTTAATTTTAATAAGATTTTTTGAATGGGACGATGCCGGCTGATAATAACAGGGAACGCTTGGGGTTTCATCATATAATGCTATGCGTTAAATTTGTGGACCAAATTCGTGCAGCAACGGTTAACCTTGCGCCGGCGGAAGAAGAACGTTGTAAATATTGCAAAATTTATCGCAGTAAACAGCTACCTATTAATTAACTGTCATTTTTTGTGATATTCGATGTTAAAAGTAGGTACTAGGTGACTCAAAGAAAGTTCTTAAAAGCAATAAATTGCAGGTGCGTCTTATTTGCCATGAATTTTAAACTTGTGCCTTTCAAGTAAATCGTAGAATTTGTTTAAGATGCATTAGATCAGTGTATCCTTGAAGTACCTACTGTTTCGACTTCAATTACCATGATGACATAACATTTGGTAGAAAGTGTTTATTTTAATAATCAATTGTTTAACATTGCAATAGACACCCAGTACCTTCATTGCATATGTGCACCTGATTTTAGAATTCCAGTTCAACTGGTCTAAATAGTCAAGACTGTTTATAGATTTGATTTTGTTTAGCGGTATTAAACATGTCAGTAGCACGTTTAACTATAATTTTTTATATTTTTTTCATGATCCCCACCTTTGAATATAGTTTTATAATCAAAGATCCCCACTAAACTGTACATATAGTCATATAGTCTACTTAAGTCTAGGTTTAATTACATGTCCCTCATTTATTATCATTGAATAAAACACTATTATTTATTTATTGGCTATTATCATCTTATAAAAATTATTCAATTGTCATTATTGGTGCCGACATAATTACAGGAGTGAAGATGATACTCTGAAAAAAGTTGGAAACTCTTGGTCTCAACAGGATTGTATAACAGTACACAACGCCCGAATCGTGTGAGAACCTATCGATCAAATTTCTTGGAAAATGCAAAACTTGTCCCAAATGGATTCTTGCACGATACGGACGTTGTGCGCGATTGCACCATCCTGTTGGAACACACAGTTTTGTTTTTTTGTGATACCGTATATCGTTGTATTCGTAATAAAAAATGCTATTAAAGACAGTATGCACTTTTTTACAGGACATATAAACCAATAAAGCTGATGATGATTTCTCCTAAACGAAACGTTGTATTGAAATTCTCTCAAGGGTCTTGTAGAGCTCAGAAAGTGGCAATAAGAAAGTGTTTTTTATTTTGTTATATCTGTTCAAATAACATTAGAAAAAAATTAAAACGAAATCGGCAAATTTCGGTTTTGCTTGCATATCTTCGGAGTAATTGGAATTTTCTGGTTTTCTTTAAACCATGATAATAACTCTTTCATTACGCATCTTTTTTTTCTACTTTGACCATCGTCGTATCTTCTACGGTTTCGGAGATCCCCATCATAGACATCCTTATATTGGACACATCAGTGTATAAACAAATTGCATTGTCCTTACGCCTATTTATTTAATAAGCTTTACTGGAACCTGAAGTTTTTTGAGAAAGAAAATTTTTACACTCTTTGCAACGGAAGAACAAGCGGCATCTGGGGTTAAAACCAAGGCAAAAAAATTCACCACTTCTGTGTTGAAAAATTTTTAGAATCTTAGATGTTGAAAACCCGGAGATGACACTCATACGAGTAGTGGCCATAACATCTGGTTTATCAAAAGATTTATTAACAAGGTTTGTGTACCATCTCAGGAAATGTTTAATGTTACTGATTGTTACTGATTACCCTCCGTCTCTAGGAACTCATTTTTTTATATTGTTAGAATTTTGTAATTATTTTTTGAAAGCAAACCCTTTCATTTTAATTTCATACATTGTTTTATGTGTGGCAAGTCCTAGCACTCTGAGCCAATTGGCTACGACAGTCCAAGTCATCGGTGGTAATTATCTCCAGAGTTGCCAACTGCACGAATAGGGTAACTCAAGATTGCTGCGCCGAACCTAGAATCCGTAATTTCATTACAGATTCAAACATAATTTTCCTCTGGCATAAATACACTTCGGTCCAAAGGAATTGTGAATTCTGGCTGAAATGGCCTGTTTTTATTTCAGCGAACCAAATTTAATACCGAACTTTGGCCTGAGCTAACGGCTGCTAAACCCCTTTTATTTTTTTGGGTATATTATGATAATTGAGCTATGCTCTCAAGGTAATTTTGTTACTTTTGCCCAGAATGAACGTAACAACATCCTGAGCGGTTAAGATACCTATTTGAGGAAAGGTTTATTTTTGGGACACATCCTGCTTTGTCCCTCCGAGCAGATTCCTCGGCCAGTATATCAATCATCAGGTATTGCATTACCCTCTCTGCAACACGATGGCCTATTCCAGCGAATTGGGTCACTCAGCGATTACACATATTGAGAGCTACCCGTCATAGGCTCAACATTCTTTTCCTGAGTCTAGGAATATACCAGCATTTGTGTGATGGGTTTTACACAACAATAGTCCAAACGCCAGTATGGTCAACGCGATGGCCGGCATTAATTCACCTATGACCTGCACGTGGGTAGTCAGGGCCATTACGTTAAACTGATTAAAACCTCCCATGCCTCACTTAGGAACCCTTGTGATCGTGAAAAGAGCACGTACTTCGCTGCCTTAACATGATGCCTTGCACCCATCTGTGCACTTTTGCGCATACTTGACCAGTTAACTGTTACCAATATTCCCATTTATCTCATTAGGGATCTTGTTGCAGTCGTGCTTTTCCATTATTGTGTAACGAGAGCATTTAGGTTGGGATTTTGAATTTTCAATTGTCTAGTAAAAGCTAAAAGTAAAATTTTAATGCTGTAGAAAAGTCACGATTAAGCTGTGTCTTTCCAAAAACAAAGGTTGGTCGTGATATTGTACAGAATTTATCTGGATTATTGGAATCTACGAAATATGTGTCATTTTTACGTAGACGTTTTCAATGAGTTTTTTGTTCTTTAATTGCATACTTTTATTATCTTAATTTTACCACCAACTTTCAATCACTGCCTTGTTCGCTTTCTTCACAACAGGTCGTTACATCTAAAAGCAGTAAGTATATCACGAAGAATAGCCACACAAGGTGGAAATTTTGTCTGCAACATTGGTCGGTGGAGTACTTCTGCTTGGTCAAGGGCCACCCTTACTTTTTACTGGCAACTTCCATTTTTTGCTACATATTCTTAAAGTGCACACCTTTTGTGCTGTTATATCCAAAAAATGTGCCCTTTAATAATATGTAATGAATCCTCTTTATATATAAAATTCTTCGGTACGTGTGTTTCCGACGAAACTCTACTTAAACGCCTGGACGGATTTTGATGAAATCTTTTTTATGTGTCTGTGTGTCCCCGGATACACACCCAATCATATTATGGGATGTTTTTAAAACACTTCTTTTTTCGTTGATGTCTCACTCTCCTATTTTACGCACGAAGGCGCTGGAGAAAATCTCCATGATATGAACATTTAATCAATCATAAATTATGACGATTTCGCTTATAGATATTTAACCTCTAATTGGAAATAATAAATATATGGTTATCACTGTACTCCGGCTGGAAATCCGGAATAGTGTGGGACTCCCCTATAACGGGTTTACCCACTAAAACCCCACCTAAGGCGTCGGATACTGCGGCCATTAGCCTATAGTTTGCAGAAAACTAATTTTTAAATTGAACTTTATAGTAAATATACTAAATAAACAAATAAACCAGATCACATCAATATACAAACAACCATAATATAGATATATATATATAATATTAGAATTTCTAAAAATGGCCACCAGAGGGCGCAACTGCCATCTGAAATTTTAAAATTGCATTTTCTTTACATTTCGCATAATAAATTAAGTTTTAGTGGGTATACCCTGATAATGGGAGAGTCCCACACTACTCCGGACGTCTATCCGGAGTGTGCGTAATGCATTTCCCCACCTGTCAAAAAAAAAACATTTTTTTTCACAGTTTTAAAGAGAACCAGTTTATCTATCATTTTCGTAAAAACAAAAACTCAGTTATTTAAAAAACAAAGATGGTGTGGGGCGTTCAATTGTTTTCGCAATAACCTTAACCCTTTGACCGATTGTAACAAATTTGGTATCGTTGAAAAGAGCATTCCTTGTGCAATAAGAATCAAGTGCAGTTTTTTAAATTTGTAATCTTTTCTAAAATGCTGATTTCTAACCAAGAAGCATTTAATATGCTGGCGACCATGGTTCGTGGTCGATTCGGATAGCGCAAATAGAAGATACGAGCAGCGATGGTGGCATTTTGAAAACACTTAAAATATATCGCCAGCATATTAAATGCTTCTTGGCTTGAAATCGGCATTTTAGAAAAGATTACAAATCCAAAAAATTGCACTTTGTGAATGGAAACACAGCAGAATAACTTACAAATTACGGCTGTTATTATTTTATAATGCATCGTGCTCCATTTGTTTAATTTTCCAAGGCCTACCTAAAAAGTGTAGGGTCCTTTTCCAAACAATCTTTTGCGCCATCGACAAATACCGGAAATACGTCAAATAAGATACAATTTAAGCATTTTTATTAATTAATTAATTAATCTCATTTTCCCAATATTTGAGGTTATGAACGAGATTTTGAAAAACGGTTTTCACTGGCCTCTTTTTATGTTATATGGCTACTTTTTCATAAATAAAAAGTCATATCAGTCCATTCGATTTGTTTGATTGCCAAATCAATTGAACGCCCCACACCATCTTTTTGAAATAACTGATTTTTTGTTTTTACAAAAATGATAGATAAACTGGTTCTCCTTAAAAATGTGAAAAAAAAGTTTAGTTTATTATGCGAAATAGCAATTTTAAAATTTAAGATGGCAGTTACGCCCTCTGGTGGTAATTTTTAGAACTTGAAAATATTTTCCAGCGATTCTTCTTAACCGACGGCTACAAAATCGATTCTTATTAACGCAGGCGGCCATCTTTAATTCGTTAATCTACGACGGTGTCATTATGGCAGATTTAGCATGGCCAATTGGATATCATTACGGCTTTCATAAAAGCACTAGTGTTATGAATTCATAAAAGCACGCAAATGATAATTACTACTATTTTCTATAGCAAACGTCAAAATTCACAAACGCGATTACCATAACATCCACTAGTATGGGCACTTGATAATTTTGAATCATAATTTATGACAAAAATCTGAATAAAATCTATTTGGACCGTCGTAGATTAAATTTTGAATGATACACGCTCTATATGAACGTTATTAATGAAATTTGTGTAACAAAAGTCACTCGGCTACGCCTCGTGAATTTAACGTTACACGCGTTCCATTATGACGTTCATAAACGAACTTGTATCATTAATAACTATTATTTAATTCCTACCCTACAAATCAATCAGTCAATTTCCACGATGCTGAAATGCGGAATTTGCATTTGTAATCAAATAGCCCTCATTAAGATAACTGAATATGATCCGAATTCCTGACATCTCGACTCCAGACATCCGGAATCCAAAAAAAAACCTTCAAAAAAGGAAAATTTTCTATTCCACTCGCTTATTTATGCCATTCCACTACAAAATATCCACCCTGTATAATAAACGTGTATTACCACTGCGAACCACACAACTATAGCACCCATACCAATATTAACCACAGTATTGATGCCAATTTGCTATTTCCATGGCTTGGAATTTATTTAGGGTCTTCCTAGTTTACTGATTGAGGTTCTCAGCGTGTGTTAAGTTTTATATTTTCGAGTTATTTGATTAATCCGTTGGCGGATTAATACCAATTGCTTTCAAATACCTCACTTTGCGTCTATCGTCTTGGGAGTCCCAAAAGAACCCTTTGGTTAGGTCTTTGTTAATACCCATCACTACCGCAGATTCTGTAATATTATTTGTATGATTCTTATTTATAAGCCTTTACAAGGTCGACTAGTTAATTTATCAACATACAGGATGCTATCATATAATAGGTTTTCAATGGTGCTGATCGATTTTGGTAATATTCCAAGTCTTATGGATACCAGCACTATATAGTCATAATCTACTAAATTACCTTGAACAAATTAATGCACAATTTGTAATATTTTCCTTCATAAAATATCCTAATCAATACAGTATTGTCTAGGACTCTATGAGAAGAAAATTTGTATTTGCTTTAGTGCTCATTTATCCATCAATGTTTGAAAATGTTACAAAGAAGTTTCCAGAAAAACAACTGAAAAATGTATACAGCTAAAATGGTTTGCATAAAAGTTTCACACAGGGTGTTACTAAAATATATGTAACCCCTAAAAGTTGTCCCTATAAGTTTCAGATACAAAGTAGTAAGCGTTTCTCTGTTTTTGTGTGCAGAATATCCATGGAATACAGATAATTATACTCATTTCAAATATGATCAAATTAGCTCCGATAAGGTGCATCAAAAACAAATTGACCAATTAACGATTTTTTAATCACGTCAGCGGTCGTTGCAGAACAACTCAAGGTATTTTTAGATTTTTTGATAGCATGGTATATAATCATCATTAGTCAAGGGTAAACAAATGGAGATAATCTTGTCCATAATGGTAATTGTATTTTTTTAGCTCTGTGTGTCAGTGTTTGTTGAGTTCAGCAGTAGCATTGTACACCGATATGAGCAACCTTACCAGTATGGGATCTATATCGTTAACTAATAAACAGCTAGACGCTTTTAAGAATTTTCTGGAAGGTCTGGGAATATTCAGTTACTCGATACAATTTTCTTCTGGCATGAAAATTGGTGAAAATTGTGCTGGATTGATCATACAAGCAACCGTGAAATGGAATGGAAATGAAGCTCATTTTGTACTGAAACGTGCACCCAACGAGAGGATCTTCAGAACTCTGATACCGGTCCATGAAGTCTTTGAAAGGGAAGCCTATGTCTACAGGACAGTGTTTCCCGAGTTCTTGAAGTTACAAAAAGAGAGCCAGATCCTCAACCCGTTCAAAAGTTACCCCTGCCTTTACAGTTACGTGGACGGGTATTATCAAGAAATGTTAGTGTTTGAAAACGTGAAAGTGTCTGGATTCAAACTTCTCCCTCGCCATCGACCGCTGGACAAAAACCATGTGTTACTAGTTTTAAAGCAGTACGCTCGGCTGCACGCATTAACGCTAGCTTTGCGCGAACGAAGACCGGAAGTTTTCAAACAAATTTCGAAGAGTATGGGCGACGGGTTCTTCGAGCGATATACTCGTGAGGCCGTGCGGCGATTAGGTGAACATCGCGTTAAACAAGCGTTACAGACACTAGACCCCATCAAAGACAAATCGGCCTATTGTAAGCTTCATAATTTTTCCAGGACTATGTTTCAAAAGCTAACGGCGCTAATGGAAATGGAGAATCCTTATTCAGTCGTGAGCCACATAGATTGCGGTATAGGAAATATGTTGTTCAAATATGATGTAAATGTAAGTCCACCTGATTCGTATTTTTTTAATTAATTGACGCATTTTAGCAGTTTTCTGACGAAGAGCGGCCAATGGAGGTGTGCCTCATAGACTTTCAAATGTCTCGGTTGGCTTCTCCGGCCGTGGACCTAGCGTGCTTTTTGTTTTCAGCAACCGATAAGACGTTAAGGAAGGACTACGATGAATTCATTTTAGAATACCACAGGTCTCTCTGCACGTTCTTGAATATGCTTGGCAGTGACGGTGAGAAGCTGTTACCGATGTCGGTTCTTCAAGAGCAACTAAAGCAACACGCCATTGTCGGTTTATACATGGCTTTCCTTTTATTGTACGTTCAATCGACTGTCAGTCAACAAATCCCGGACATTTTCTTCGATACTTCCCATGCCAACGGCTATTCGTTCCTATATGACATAGAAGACCGGTCTGTGTATAATACCAGGGTTAGGGACAGCATCTTGGATTTTAATAGATATGGATACACGTTTCCTTAATGATTAATATCCTTAATTTTTCAAATTTTTTTATCAAACTTTCAAATTATAATTTTTCTACTCACAACTTTCAAGGGAAACATTCAATGCTTCACCAATAGTGTGATCTTTTACAAGTAAAAAGAGTTTTTTTAAGTTGATACCGGTGAACTGAAGTTGTTATATGAAAAATAAGTGCTTATCTTATGATAAATCGTATATTTAATTGGATAGGTAATTATTTTTGTCAAAACAATAAGGAAAGAGACGTCATCGTTTATTTTAAATATTTGTTAAGAGCTGCAAGAGGTAAGTCACAGCCAGTGGAAGAGCTCACTTGTATAAAATTAAATTGAGCATCTACGGCACTAGCAAAAACTTTAATATGACAGTTACCTATTTTCAGTTTATCTATGGATAACTGAATACTAAAAATTTTGTGTTATACTCCTTACCTTGAGAAAGTCTTATCTCCTCTTAAAATCTGAAATTCAAAATCGAATGCTCCTGATTGATTGAAATACGTATATCACATTAGTTTATTGAATATATTAAGCAAAGCAAAAGCTATCAAATTCCATATTTTATAGATGTAAAATATTATCTGGATTCATAAAAAGAAATACAAACAAAAATAGTGATCACGTCCATGCTAAATTTGATCCATACGTAAATACGACATAAACATTTTTATGTTTAAAGATATACAACCCTTTCTCAATTTTACGCAAAATTTTAATCCAACCAAAGGAATGATATTACTGTAATTTAATTGCAAAATTCACAATCAGAAAAAATAAATAACCAAAATTCTTTGCTTGGATTTCAATATTATCAATAAATATCATACAAAATCTGTCTCTGCAAATAATTCTCATAGGTCGGTTTCTTTAGCAATATTAAAATTATTTAAACCAACTTGTTTAATGCAAATTCTTCAAAATAATCGACCATTGCTTTTATACGCATCAAAAATAATTAACGTGGATAATATTCTCTTCGGGTTACAATTGGTCTTATCTCTCCCTGGAAAATGCTGTTTCATTTAGAAATATGGAAATAGATTAATCCTGTAGGGTGTAGAAATGTATGTACCGCCCCGGTAGTTTTATCATAGGGATAAATTTCAAAACAAAAATGTCCATACGTATTTCGAACCCAAACATCAAATCTTGCCCAATTAATTAAGCCTTTTGATCAGTGAATTGTCTTTAAATTTCCTACCGAATGCCGTTATATACGAAATGTTACCTCCCTAAAATTTTGATAAACTGACTTTTAATAGGTCGTTACTATTAGCCATGTAAACTAATTTCTGTTTATCATAAAGAGTTTTTAATTTCAGTTTATTTAATTCTGTTTCTATTTGAAGCGCACTTCTCCAATTCGAAAATGTACCTCGTGCAAATTTTATAATTCATAAGTGATCGGCCTTGCTATAAATTAGGCTAACATAAGGAGTTTCTTAACGATGCGATTTAAAAAAAAATAGCAGCGACGTTTTTGTTTGGAATTTTCCACAATAAGAACTGGTAACGCTTTAAAATACCCGTGAATGCTTTGAAAGGTTAACATAGTCTGCTGTACGTCTAAAATGCCTAGCCATAAGCCAATGCTTGTTTCAAAGGGCGAATCCTTGTTACCGGTTTTTATTTCCAGACGTATTTTCGTTCATGTTCACTATGAAGAGGTACGTTTGTAAATATTTACCAAAATATAATCGATAACCCAATTTTTGAAAACGGTTAAAGCGACCACTGCATCCTGTTCCCCGTGGAGCAGCAATTTCGTTGAAAAAAACGAGAGTTCTGATGATCTCCATGTAGAGGTACGGATGCCAACCGAATCCAAACTTGACGGGATCTTAAGATTCGACTGGTAATTAAATATAACAGAGAACGAAAAATAATTTTCCTATTAATCGAAAGTTTTGGTATCTTCCGACTTCAGATTCTTCGATTCCTTCCTTTTCTTCAGATTATTCCGGTACTTTTCCCATCGGTTGGAGGTTAGGGAATCTTGTTTCCAAATAAGACCCTTAAAAGGACTCTTTCGATCAATGCAAACAACCCCTTATTTTAAGAGCCAGTTGAATCTCTCGGTAGACGATGACAATTTGTGAATTTGTGTTTGCGTCAGGTCGACCGACTTAAGCACAAACTCAAAAAACCACTTCATCACTATTTAACCTGCCAGAATTAACGTTACGGATAGTACAGGCGAGTATGGCAATGGAATCAAAACTAAATAAAAATTAACAGATCGGGTGAGAATAATAATTGACAAATTAAAGGGAAAGCTAACTGGTGAATGAAAATAAACGGACAAGTGATTCGGGTCTCTGGTCTGGAATACACAGAAATAAGTTTCCGGTCGGTTAGTAATCTCAGGAAAAAGTGTTTCCGTGAAATACAAATTCATTCTTGTATAGGGACAAGGAAGCACACAAACAAGAGTGGATATAAGAAGCGATTTCACTTTCAAGGTGGGACAGAACCAAGCGGCATCTAACGGAGGAATTTTACAACGCCCCTTACTGAGGTATACATATAAAGAAAATTAATTACCGATTTCAATGTTTTCTTACGATCAGACTTGAAATCATAGCACGGCAGTTTTTAAGAGTAAGATTCATTTTTTCACTGAGACGCAAACTTTAAAAATTTGTCAAAACTCAGAAATTAGAGGTTTCGATTTGTCATTGCGTATATTAACGTACAAAATAATGTTGGTAGTTTTTAAGCTTTCATGGCAACATAGTATCTTGACTGCGGAAGTTTTTGGAGCAACTTACATATCCTTTAAGATCAGTAACAGATTATCTTATTCTAGTTAACCTTGTGAGTTTTGCGTATACGATAAAGTTAACACATCTTTACAAGTCACGTAGAGGTTGGTGAATACCAAAAACACAATTTGTATTTATGTATGTAGAGATCTAAATTATACATGATTTGCTCATGAGAACATTATGAGGCTTTGGTCATCGTGTCCAATTTTCGCTTTCGTCTTTCTCTGGCGTGACGTTCTGAAATATCTTCTGATTTCATTTGATTATTATTTTGGGAAAACTGAGTTTAGTTCTGTATATTTTCAGCGACCCGTGAATAATGATGTAACTAACTAATATTTCACAAAGCAAAATTTATGAATTTGCTTGACGGATGCTTAACCCTTTGTCTTGTGTAACAGGTGGTCGCTTTAGGTTTACAAAGATTTGGTTTCGAATTTACAAATTTCCCAGTATAGGAAATTTAATACATGAACCGTTTCATAGTGAAAAAGGACAGCAGTAAAATAAGATAGAATGAAACGCTTTCAGATAAAAAGTCATTTTAACATTCCTGAAGAGGTCGAACCACGGAAGTTTTTTCCGTGAATAGATTTCTAAATTTTTTATGAATGATAAGCGAACCCAAACAAAAGATTTTGGGGATTTTTTCTCATTAACTGTGAAGTGGAATTTTAAGTTCATTGACCATTCCTTTGAGTGGATTAAATGTTAGCGGATTCAATGTTGGCGTTGGATTAATTTCTAATTGATTTTATGGAAGTGGAGCTTTCAACCCCTGTAAATGTAACTAAGCCGTTACACTTGTGTAATTGCAAATGTCTTGCAGCAAACAAAAGCAGCGCGTTAACCCTTATGTAGGAGACTATATCGACTATTTTGACATTAGAATCTAACAATCATCTTGGTGATCCAAACAAACAAAAAATGCACTATAATTTCATCCATGTAGACGCCTATCGCATTAGAATATTAGATATTATAATAAATTAATAATTTGCAACAACTGTTGTGCAAAGAAAATTGCATCATCAACATTAATCGCTAACCGCAGTCTGTTTGTAAACAGTTTCTCCTGAACAACATTGGCGTATTGATTTAAAAATAGTATATTGCGAAAAATAACAAAAATGTAATAAAAATACCGTAAGTCTGGCATCCCAGGAGCAACTTGGAATCCCTTGAAGACCATCCATTCCATGGTAGTGGTGAGAAACAGGTATACAAGGAAGGAATAAAAATAATTGCAATTAATTATGTTATAGCGTCCTGCTTCTCCCCCACAACAGTGTCCTCAAGGATGGCGCTTCTATAGTAATATGCTCACAAAAAAGGAACCGAAAAATGTCACTTGTTCTTAGACACACAAACCATTATTCATAAACAAGTTGCTTTATTTTGTGCAATGATAATCATGTCAATGTCGTTTGCAATATTCGTCATTTCAACTGCAATTATTAAGACAATTCATATGTACATTGTATAGGTTAATCGATCACAAGTTACGTTCAACAATAAATAACAAATTTGATACAAATTATTTGCCATTCTTCGCTTTGGTCTCGTCATACGGATGCGCAAGTATCCATTCCAAAGCTCTAAGTATTGCGGGTGGGCTTGGTGGTGGTGTCGGTAGATGTGCGCCTTGGGGTTGAAAACCCAGTTCGTCATCGGCCGTGTATGTCAGCGATATCTGGTTGCCTTCGGGATCCTTGTAGCCGTAGCCGCCTTGAACCACGATCGCATCTTCCTTGTCCGGGCCGGATGCCTTCTTCAAGGTACCCGTTTCTTCCGCCTTTATTCCGTTCTCTGTATCGAAACTAAGCAAAATGGTTAGGTGGGTGCATTAATTTCGCGTGATGGAATTCTTGCACAATAGTTGTATGTCTTTTCGCACAATTTAGAGAAAGTTAAAGGTTAGTATCGTGGCATTCTTTCGTCCTGAATCCTACCCACCATTGTAATGGTACTTTTATGACCCTAAATCTCACCTCCATTTATATCCACCGTCGGGACCACTCTCACTAGACTGACTTATGATTTTTATGGTTTGCGCTTGCGGTGCCGAATTAACAACGTTACAGATTCCCACAAGGAACAGGCTTAACTACAATATAATATTACCTTGGCGGATGAAAAAGAGGGTTAGTTTACGTACCTCAATGTAGTTCATGTTTATATTCTATCAAACATTAGATTCTCTACACTACTGACGATGATGATGGAAGCTTCTCTATTTATACTCTTCTTGAGGTTTAATCAAAAACATACAATCATAACTTCCCCCTACAACAATAATCTTATTCATGATAGTTTCTTACAACACAAGAAAATTGCATTATTTAATGTCACTCAAGTTTAGTACAGATG